CCCCCCCCCCGCAGCACTAGGCCTGGATCAATGGTGTCCGTCAGCAGCAGCAGGACGCTGGCTGTGGAGTCTGAGCTGTTCAGGGACAGCAGCAGCAGCCTGTTCTCCTTCCTGGAGGAGGACGGGGTCCGCAGCAGCAGCAGCCCGGGGGCCGGGGACCATGAAGGGACCATGCAGAGTTCCAGCCCTGAAGAGAGGGAGGATGGAGAGGAGGAAGAGGAGGAAAAGAAAGGATTAATTCTGCAGATTTTCAGAGGCGTGGCAGATGAGGAGGAGGAGGAGGAGCCTAATCTGCCCGAGTTTTCCTTCCATCCTTCCTCCCCGTTCTCCCCCACTTTGGAGGACATCGAGGAATTCCTGAAGGAAAAGATGGAACAAGTTAAGGAGGAAGCCTCTCCTCTGCCATGCAGCTTCATCAGCTCCTCATCTTCCTCAGCGGAGAGTCAAAGTAAGCCGGTCGGGGCGTCCTCCCCGGAGACCCCCGAGGAAGAGAAATACGCCCCCGGCCAGGCTGAGCCGTCTCCTCCCTGTCCAGCTAACCCCTCGCCAGCCTCCGTGGCCCCGCCCATGCTCCTCAGCGCTCCGGTGGTTCTCCAGCTTCAGCCGGTACCTCTGGCCCAGCCTCAGGCTCCAGCAGGATCTCCTCCATCAGCGCAGAGCGGCATTTGGCTCACCCATCTGGTCATGGGCCTTCAGGGGGCTACGGCTCCAAACCTCACCCTGGTGGCCCCCCAGGTGTCCTCCACACCCACCGGCGCCCTGTTGCCGCTAACCGCTGATAACAAATCAGCCGACCAGAAGTATGTGAAGATCGCACCTCTGCCCATCACCACAAGGACTCTAGAGATCACGGCGGTGGGAGCCGGTCAGGGGGCCGCCATCCTGACGGCTGCAGCCCCCCGGGGGAGCAGGGCATCCCCCACTGAGAGGGTCCATAAATGCTCCCACCCGGGCTGTGGGAAGATGTACACGAAAAGCAGCCATCTGAAGGCGCACTTCCGCCGGCACACGGGGGAGAAACCCTACACCTGTAGCTGGCCGGACTGCGGCTGGAAGTACGTAAGACAGAAAAGCAGAAAAACACGCAGCCGATGTTTTACCGGAAAAATGAACGTTGAGTTAAAGTTATTTACGCAAACCTTTGACCTGCCGTGAAAGAAACGTCGCAAACTCAGAAACTAAACTTTTTACCATGACAGCTGAAACCAGACCGCCACGGATGCTAACGTTAGCCTTAATGTTTCCACTGCTGCCTCTCTTTCCACCAAAAAAAAACAGAGATTCCATCAACCAGGGACCGACCTGCAGGCAGTCAGTACCTGGGACAGTCTACGTGACGTTTTACCCATTTTTAGTAAAGGAAACGATAATAAATGAAACGTGGCTAACTGCTAACGTTGCTAACAACACGTCCACATTGATAAAATCAAGTCATAGGAAAAGTTTGCGAGGAAATAAAGGAGACGGAGAATTTGAGCAAGGATAGAGATTTATTTTTAAATACGAGAATAAAGTAACATTATAAAGTCAAAATGTTATTAGAATAAAGTCGCAACATTACGACAAAGTCCTAATATTAGTAGAATAAAGTTATATTTCATGACGACTCTTACAGGAAGTGCTGTCTTCTTTAAAATAATGAAGTGGAGCATCATGGGAAGTTATACTTTAGCATCAGTTATAAGGAAATATTTAGTCTTTTAGCTTTAAATTACGATCAGAATGTCGGAGACAGTGGCCTGATTGGCTGTCATCTGGTGGGCGGAGCTTTCTTTCTGAAACAGATTTTTGGTTTGATGATTTTATTCTCGTGAAATTTCTTACTTCATTCTCAAAAAACTCATTATTTATTCTCATTTTTATAAAAAAATCTCCACTGCGGCCCTGATTGTAATTCAAAAGAAAAATAAGAATAATGAAAGAAGACTTTAAAGTTACTTTGATCAGTTTCAGTTAAACCTGTAAACTTAATAACATTTAAAGGCCGCTCCTGAAAATCCTGGATTTCCTGAAAAATCCTGGATTTCCTGACAGATTTCCAGAACCGTTCCGAGTCTGAAGGTCCTAAAGGCTTTTCTCTGCGGGGCCGCGTGCAGAAAGAACACGGCGCTCGTTCTAAACGCACTTCCTGCTCGTTATTACATCATCGGCGCGCCTCAGTGACATCAGCCACTTGCTAAAGAAATCAAAAGGTTTTACGGTGTCAGGAGTTCAGAAGGCTGCTAAAGTTAAAGCTGATCATTGTATAGTTTAATAAATCATTGTTTAGGTCGATCTGGACAGTTTAAACCAGAGATTAATCCGGTCATCCCGCGTCAGCAGCAGGGTACTGGTGTCTCTTCTACTGGCGGCTGGTATCTTTAATATTTATCAGATGTGGCAGGGGAGGAAGTTACGGAAGAGGATTAGGGCCACTGAAAAAAAAAGTAAACTGATTTTTAAATTTTATTTCAGTTTAACATGAGAAAAAAGTCAGAATTCTGACTTTTTTCTCATGTTAAACTGAAATAAAATTAAAAAAAAATCAGTAAACTTTTTTTTTCAGTGGCCCTAATCCTCTTCCATAGGAAGTCGCTCCATTCAGATTGAGAGTTATATTTTATTAAACATAAATCCTTTAGCAGCTTCAGTAGCAGAGCTGAACAAACTGCAATGATGCTGTCGTCATGACGACAGCCTGTATAAAAGGTAAAGAAAGCTTAAACCATTTTGCAGGAAAGGACAGAAGGTTGAGCTGTTGGGTCTAAAGTTGAATTTAATCTCCTGTATAAATGATGAAAGTCATGTGACCTGTGACCATGTGACCTGTGACCTTTGCCCTGTCTCCTCTGTCCAGGTTCTCCCGATCCGACGAGCTGTCCCGCCACCGCCGCTCTCACTCAGGCATCAAACCGTACGAGTGCACGCTGTGTGAGAAGAAGTTTGCGCGTAGCGACCATCTTTCCAAACACACTAAAGTCCACCGCAGCTCCAGGCCCGGCAGGGGGATCAGGGCCACCGTCTGACGCCGCCGCTCGCTGCAGACCGCCTCCGGGAGACTCTTTGGTGCTTTGAGACGCAGAACTCTGTGAGGAACCCAGAGAGCGGGCTGCTTCCCTTCCTCTCTCTCCTCCCTGCTTTCATCCGTTTGCATCTGAGGAGCTCGCCTTACACAGAGCAATCAGCTCAGGATGAACTGTGAGCCGAAACAAGACTTCCTGCTTTGATGCACACATAACAGGCGGCCATCTTGCCCGAGGCGCCTCCTCCAGCCACTGCTTGCACTACAGCTCCTGGAACTGAACCAATAATGGGAACATCTGTAATCTCCTCTCTACTTCGGCCAATTATCCGTCTTCCTTGGAGCCAAATGTCAGGGATCCGCTGCACAACAAGCATGTAAACGTTTCTCCCTGATGTGGCCTGGTTAGTGTGAAGCACGGCGGCGCTCAACAGAAACGACCTGCTCCTTCATTTTGCTCTAAATTTGGTCAAACTTTGCAGAAATTCCCAAGTTAATGTTTTATGACTGGGCGCCCGAGTCGCCCAGTCATGGACTCTTTCTCGCTGCCTTTCGTCCTGATCGCTAACCTCTGTTGATCCCAGCGTTGTTCTTCTACAGCTGCTCTTATTAACTGTGATTCCTGGCAGAGAGGCTGAACCAGAAGTTCTGGACCCCCACGGGTTGGAAGCCGCCCCTCTGCATGGACCACCATTTATAAGCTCGTCGTTAGCGGCAGATCAATGTGCAGCCAACTTCTGTGGTGCCCAACGGTGCAGCCTGAGGCACTGCCCTGACTTTATTATAGTAGCACTTACTGTCACCACGGTTCTGTTGGTGTTTAGCTGCAGCAGAAGGTTTAACAGAAAAGCTAACTGTACAATCATGTGGATTAGCTTTAGGCCTGGGCCAGTATAGGATAAAAACCATGTGAGGAGGTAACTGCACCCATCAGGCCCAGTGATTCACACCTTCCACGGTATCCCGGGATGCTTCCTCCTCAGCAGGTGTTCAAACCGCCACAGAATTAATCTAGCTGCTGTTTGAAAGAAAGCAGGTTTCTGGTGTCAGCAGATTGAGCGTCATGTCTGCTAGGAAGTGTGTTGGTGGTGG